CAAAAGGCTCTTTCTGTGTCTGAAGATTACATTTCAAGATGCTTAAATCAAAGGTGACATATTGTGACTGTAGACCTATGTAGCAAAGTAGATCGGCAAGTTGATTATTAATGTCTGCAGAATGAGCTGGTCAAAAGAATCATAATAAAAACTGGAGGAACTCACGGGCCTCACACCATTAGTATAAACCTGAAATTCTTCAAGACAAATTAACTTATATCCTATATTTTGTTTGTGTATAACAATACTCAATTAAAATCCAGTCAGGTATAGTGGACCAAAGCCAAGTCTGACATGAGGGAAGATTTAACGGATGCCAGTGCAGTATTCCAGGTGATAAATCAAATATAATCATGTTGTTAGTTTTGGAAGGTGGTACTTGCATCTTAAATGGGCAAAAAGCAGCTGGAAAAATAGCTACATATAAAAAATTCTTCAGAATCTAGTATCTCAGTTCGGACATTGGCAGAGCCTAATTGCCCCACTTTAAGGAGCGAGATCAAACGTATGTCCCCGTCAGTGAGAAGAGCAATACACTGATAAGAACTCTTAAGGGGGAATACATCTCTCCTACGTTTAGACATGATGTCAGGTGTGATTTGTGATGCCACCCCTCTCTTGGTCATTGAGACTGTTTTGACTTTTGCTGATACTGTTTGAGAAGTACTGTACCCTTGGATGCCCAACTTTTAAAATGAAAAATCGGTTTTGCAATGCATTTGTCAAAACCCTGACAATGTAAGCTACAATGAAACCTTGTGATTACCCTTGGTAAAGTCACTTGCATGCATAAATACATATGTGAATTGATAATCTGGTTGGGAACAGCTCTGAGTGTGCTGTAGCAAGTCTGGCCCCCTTCCTTCTGCTCGGCAACGTCTGCGGAGCCAAAGGATGGGGCAAAGGAGCAATGTGCAGGGTCAGGCATGCCGGACTGGGGGTGGAAGGCAGGCCTCTCTCCGCTTGCTCACTCACAGCCACCACATCTCCTCTGCCAGGTGGGTCTCTTCCTTTAAACAGTAACTGGGGTCTTTTCCGCTAAGATCCAAGTCTTTAGTTGCAAATCAGGCTTGCCACTGTTTGACCTTGGGAGGCTGTTCCTTGGGGCTCCTGTAAAGCCATTTCAACCTTTGCAGAGTAGAAAGTGATATTTCAGCAGCTTCCTCCACAGTGAGTACAGTTTTGTGGTGAATCCCAAAGTCTCAATAGAGACGATATGCTACGTATATAATTTAAAGAAAGAAATTCTGCTGCATCGTTTTTAATTCATCACTGCATCTGGTGAATTCATCACTGCATCTAGTGAATTCATCACTGCATCTAGTGTAAGGGTGTATATACTGTAGTTCATCCTGGTACGCTTACAATGTGTGTTAACATCCATCAATATCCATCTATAGCCATTGTATCTTGGGTGCCATTCCATGTGTGTAAACATCGCTAACAAAATTAACTAGAAAATAACCAAGCCACTGTCATGACACCTATAAGATGTTATGACATCTTAAATATGAACCATAGCGTTCTAAAGTATTTAAGAGTATTTAAGAGAAAATGCAATCAATCATTATGAAAACAGTATTTACAGTAAGGTTTGGTTTTCTTCTTTTAGGAATAACCTATGCCCCACCCTGCAGAAAAACGAATTTTACCCCCAAGATCCCACTTTCCCATTATGACAGACGTCAAAGACGAGAATTATAAGTCCTTCCACAATCTACACTTCAAAGTCGGACGCTGCCTCCCCGGGGAAAATGTCTGTCTAGGGTGGGGTGACTTTTAACTGAATAGTATGTGAGATCTTAGATCCCGAATAATTGTAATGGTGTTGAAAAATAGCCAGGCTTAAACGACACAGGTTTAATTTGAACCGACTTTAGTCTTTTGCCATATGTCAAGGTGGATCAAGTCCAGCGATTAAGAGAAATTAATTAAAATTCAATACAAAAGATTTTTGTGTTATATTTGTTGAACTTGGACTGCGGGTTGTTATGTAATTTAGTTTGAAGGAGAACTTCCTGTTTAAACACGTCATTTGTTGCAACCCAGCTGATGTAACATTTAAATTAAAAGAGTAGAAAGAGAAATATTTGTATTTGCATTTCCCAGCTATGTATTATTGGAATTAAGTGAATGATTGGGCCCAAGGTGTGGGAACTGGAGCTGAATGTCACTGGGTAGCAATGCAAACAAATTAGGTCTATTTCGTGACGTTAGTTTTTGTGCATTGCTCCCAAATTGTTTTTTTCCCAGTAAATAAACATGTAAGATACAGTGATCTTTTATAGATAACCTACACCAGAGCACCAATCAAGACCCTGAATAGCTATAATTGCATTATTTACAACAGGGAGTCATTGGTCCTTTGATTCTCCTTTGGGACACTTATTGTCTTTCCTAGGGCTCTTCAAATCTGCACCTCGATTCCAAATCCAGGCCGTGTTTTCAGTTCTCCCAGGAAGTTACCTTAATAATTACTGATTCTGATTGGTCAGAAGCTTCACACCCGGCTCACAGGTAAAGGAATTAGGCTGGAAAATCAGCAGGCCTCAGCCCTTGGGCATCATGGTTTGAACAACCCTGGTCTATCCATCGATCACACAAACCTAGAATAAATGATAAAATGAAGAAAAGCAGTTTAACTAAATGTGATGAATTGGGCTATGATTCAAAATGGCACATTTACCATGAGAATCGTCAGTTATAGTGAGTTATAATACTTCTGTTATAAATGGCTTCTATTTGTGTATTTTATATAAGATGACATGTGATACCATTTGGGTGAATTTTGGTATCATTTTACCTACATGGTATAGATACTGATCTAATGTCTTTTTTTCACTGGATCCAGGCCATTTTACACATGCTAAGTGTCCAGCTACCCCCTTTAAAGTCTTTTGAGGATTAGACTTCAGATAATTAAAAAAAGCCTTTAGTGAGTTTACTTTTAATCCATCGCTTTTCTGTCTTTGATGTCAAATTCTGTATAATGTGGTCGCCCAAAGCAGATTCCAAAGAGAGCATAAGTCATCAGATAAAACTTTGCTTACTATTTTATTGCGGGATACGAGTAAATATTGAGAAAAGGGATAAATACAAAGAGAAAGGGGAATGAATTGCATGGAATAAGTCCATTATATTAAACAGCGGAATAAAATAACGAGAAACTAAAACATTCAGATTGATGTTTTTGTTCATGTAAACTAAACAATATAGGATAATTCAAACAGCATAAAGACTGTTTAGCAAAGTGAAATAAAAACGAAAACCGATTATCTGAAATATGAAGTGGGCACAAGTAGGATCCATATAATGATGGATTTCCTACTTCTGATAATAAGCCATGAGACCGATATTTTCCCCTGTACTTTGTCTTGGGGGTGTTTCTTTTGTAGCAACGTGAATTGTCACGGCCTCAGTCTGTGGTTTAAATTTTAGCCCTGATTCTACTTCGTATTTAGCCGATAAACGGCATTAATAAAAGAACCTCATGATTCTATACTGCAACCGATCAGAAACGATGCAACGAGAAGAGGGTTATTATTTTAAATTAGTTGGCTGCAAGTAGAGATATCCGAAAATTTACCGGAAACGAGCTACGCTTTATATTTTCCTGACAGTAAAATGAGGAAACTGTAACATATAGAGTAATTGCTATTTCATTCAATTTAAATTTGATTGTCGTTGTTCCCCCAGTAATAATAAACGGTATACAGGCCTATATCGTGTCACTTTAATTAGCATATCCTAATTAAAATGTCTTTTAAGAGACCGGTTACAACGGCGGAAAAGATTATCGGTTAGTACCGTCATAACGACGTTTTAATTAAAAACTCAAACACTATTTTCTGTTAAATTTTATCTAAATAGATCACAGGTCTACATAGTCGTTGTTTACATGATTGGAAAGTTTTCGTCTACAATGATTTATGCATAGATTGAAGACTTTTTATTCATAATTCGGGCTCTCTTTCATCTTTTTAAGGCGCAAAAGTCCATTTAGGACTATCCTTTGTACCACATCGGTATGGGTAATGCAAGCGTGGGATTAACCTGAGAAAACCCCTCTTGGGGTTTGTTCTTCTAAGAAAAAGGTCCGTATTGCGTTGAAATAATTATCCTTACAAAAGCAAAGTGCGATGATCCTTTTTATGGCTCGGGGGTGATTATTTTATGGCGGTGTTAAACGAGAGCTTGTTTTGGATACGCTACAGCTGTGGGACCAGAGGCATTTTCAGTGCCTGACAAGATAAATCCCTTTGCCCACCAGAAGAGGGCAGCATAGATAATGAAATATCATGTCAGCATTTTAACATGCAAGTATAGGTTTAATTAACTTGCTGTTCAAATTATATAATGTGCGGATTTAATTAAATATTACTCATTTTAACTTGTGGGCGCATGTGCCAATCAAACTTTATTTCCTTAATATTAATTAAATTCATCTTCCAACCACTGTGTGGTCAGGGTCATATGGACCTGGAGCCCCTCCCAGGCAGCACAAGGCACAAGGCTGGGGGCACCCTGGACACACTCATGCTCTATGGGCAATTTGGAGACATTAATTACCCTAACTGCAGTCTCTGTCGAGACCCGCAGCTCCCTGGAGTGACAATATCTATCCACCCTCCAATGGGTCATCGGGGGGGGGGGTCACAGGGCTGGAGGTGGGATGCCAATGGCTGTAAATATAGGACAATAAGTTTAGCAATCCATATACAAAATCCATGGAATTTATTCCAGATCTACAAAACCCATGAAATTGCTCAAGAACCTCTCATAAAATAGAACTGATATTGCTGCAAAATGATGATTTGCTCGTTATAACCTTTACCGGTACTTCTACCTTCTGCACCATGCACATCAATGAGGCAAGACCAGCGTAAAAATGCAGGCTAATGAAACCTGAGGTGTGATTAATTATTTTGTTCAGTAGCGGATTATCCTCCACACCGGCGAAAATGAACCCGTAGCCTAATTGCCGCGCATTTGCCCGGACACGCAGATCGGTGTCATCTGCTCCTAGCCCGGCACATCCTGCTGCCGCATGAAAAGCCAGCCAAACCATCCAGTTCCCTCCCTTCCCCTCACAGGACCAGCTTATGTCTGTTGCTGCACACAGATGATTTTTCAGCTTGGTAGGGTGCTGCGATCGATTTGTGTCTGCTACCCAGACATCCCCGTTATTAACAACGCTAAAGGTGAAGAAAGCTCCAGCGCTCGGAATACGTCCAGTTTGCACTCATTAAGCAGTTCACAACCGCATTGACTTATCTTATTGTTATGTGGACCACATTTGTAACATTGACATTTCTAAAGGCGTCTTGAGTCTAGCAGTCTACAATTTTCAGCCAGAAACTCACATAAAGTATGTCTGTGGAGCAGAAGCTGCCACGCGAGTAGGATAGCGTCAAACAAATGACTTCACTGTAGAAATACTCAAACATTAAAAAGGGTCAGATCCTTTAAGGCACGGACGGCCGGGCAGCACACAAAGACCAAAGTCACTGCGCTGCCACAAATGCCTCCACCACCGTCTCTTCCATGTCTCCTGAAATGCACCTCCAGCACCCACCCGGCTGACTCCGAAGTCAATTAGCATAGTAGGGGCCAGCCGGGTTTCATTAAATGAGGACTCTGTGGGCACGGAGATGGTGGTCATGGCACCATGGAGACGCGAACCCAATGATGACATTGCTCTCGCTCATGATTTCTGTATATGTAGGCTATTTATACATATAACATACTTTAAAGTTTTGTAGGAACAACGCTGTGCAGCGATATTCTTTGTCCATTTTGCCACATGTTAGTTACGTCTTAGAACTATTCATTAATTCATAAAGTATAGTTATAATACAAACATAATATTATAAAAACGCGGTCGGTATCTAATCACGGAGGATTGCTACTCTTAATTTTCTTTTTTGTGTACGACCACTTCAAACGTGTATTTATGCGTCATATGCTTCTGATACTTTCCGAAAAAGAGGCAGGCGTGCCGTTCCCCGCTGCATGCCAGCCTGTTGCTCTCGTCTCATTACGCTGCTCCTTCTTCCTCATTGCAGCAGCTGTCACTCCTTTCCTGGGCCTTCGCGTTGTCAAGTGGCATTCTGGCAAACTGAAAATAATGTATTTTTTTTTCTTGCAGACAAGTGGGGAGGGTTGAATGATCTCTCCGCATTGTAATTATCTGCATTCTTCCTCTCTTGTTGCTTCATCCCGTGTTCCCCGGAAAATCTTAAACGCCGATTAACAGTGGAGCCGACATGCATACCTAAAGGATGATTCACTGGATTACCTGGGGTATGTTTTTAATGTGCCTTTAATCAACAGCTCTTTTTCTCTAAGTCGTTAGCTGACAATTAACTTGATATTAAGGGAAACTTACACTTGAATCAAAGTAATCTTATATTTTCTAAATCAGAGCAAATGCTCAATGAACAATGGCATCTGGAGCTATCAATGTTTGCTGCATATAGATCCCAATTGAAAAACGGAAGCAAATGCAGTTGACGCACCTCAGTACTTTTCATTAATATTCAGAGAATAGGGGTTACAGTGAGTCTGATTCAGAATCACCCATCCACATTAGTTTGGACTGGATTACACAAATATATATTTGTGGTTACTAAGCAAACAGGCCCTTTTCACTGAAACCATACAGGTGTCAGTGATCTTATTTTACATCATCAACCATTTAGGTAAAGGCAGTTTTACTTCATTGTTATCAATTAATTGACTCAGCCATTAAATCTGGATAAATATTTGAAAGACTATAATCAACAAATCCATACAAAAAAGGCACTACGCCTGACATTTACTGATGGTAGACATATGGGAAGGTATTATTCATTACAGTATTATATAAGTGTGCAAACCTCTCACTCATGGTACTTTACAATCTGTGCTTTGGTTATTGCCTCACACCCCTGAGACCCGGGTTCGAGTCTCTGCCATGCTGCCATGTCTTGTCTCCCCATGTTATCCTGGGGTTTCCGCCGGGTACTTGTTTCCCCCCACAGTCCAAAAACATGCTGAAGTGAATTGGAGTTACTGAATTTTCTGTCAGTCTACATGTGTGGGTGAATGGTGTGTTGGTGAATGGTGTGTGAGTGTGCCCTGTGATAGGTTGCCTCATAGCCTGGAGCCTCCAGAATTGACTCTGGACCTCTGCGACTCTGAATAGGATAAGCGATTACAGAAAATGGAGGGCAGACACAATATCAGATGGGAAACCTGATCACATGGTGTGGCTTATGCAACTTCAAGCAAAATATGACTGAAATCTCCTGTCTGTGATGTTTTGAACCTGAATTTTGAATGTGTTGTTCTCAGATGTCACTCCCAGCGTCAGGGTCTTGGACTTACGGTGTAAAATTCGACTTACGGCGTAAAATTGGACTCATGGTGTAAAATTTGTCTCACTTCTTTGGAAACTCCAGTCCCAAACTAACCAAGTCACCTCTTCTGGGTAAACTGTTGGAGGTTGGCTGATTGTGACTTTTTTTTACACACAGTAAATATTGTGCATCGCCATACTCTGCGAGTATTTTTCATTCAGTTCAGAGCCAATCATTGGCCGAATTGGTATGTCATTGGGTTTTCAATCAACGTGTATCTATGCCAGTTACTAAATTGTTTTAGTGTGTATCACAAGCTTTTTTTGTGCCAAACACCCATAAAGCAACTAACTGGTCCTCAGCAATGTTAAGCCTCTGTTAGCATGCAAGTTAGTGACACTCCACACATCACACGCTTCTGAATGTGAGCAGCAGGAGAACAGAATCCGGCACGGAGGAACATGTGGGGATGATCAGGATCCAGATCCCCAGTGACATCATTTAAAATCCAGACCTGCAAATAATTGACATGCTAGAGGCAAAAGAAACATCCTTGCTTGAAGTTCACCCCCCCCCCAAGAAATCATTTTACCTAAGTTAACATCCTTCACCAAGACATATGGGGACCATTTTCAAGCGTCCTGTTTTTTTTTTTTTTTTTGGCATTCTTGACCTAAGAAGTCCTACAGTTGTTTTTTTCATAATCTTGCTGCTACATCTGACACTAAACCAAATCTGTCGATGTTCTCAAATACCTCTCTGGGACTGCTCAGTGTGGATCTATGTAGGCGTAGGGTGCTGCACACTCATGACACCTCGCCCCACTACCTGTTGCATTAATGCATATAAATCGGCCAGCACCGGAATCAAACATCCAGAAACCTCAATAAATATGCCTCGTGAGCTCTCACCAAACTGCTCTATTTGCTGTATTTCTGGGGGAATCAACAAAGCCTGATAAACATCCATAAGCAACAATATATACAGAATCCAGTTGAAGAAAATGTTTCACTGCATGTTGTCAGCATACAGAGAGACTGTAGAAGAGTTTTTGCTGGCTGACCAGGTCCGACTTTCTCAATAAAGAGTGCTATTATATCCTTGGTACGTAGGTGTTAAAAGTGTACAGTGTACATAACCCAGGACACATTGGATGTGAACGATGCCAGCACTGTAAAGTCCTTGAGTGCTTGTTTATTGTTTTCCCCCCCACAAATTGTTTCTTCAGACAAAGACACCGATGTCCTGCAGTGACAAGGGAAGCAAGCGCCTTTCAGGGAAAGTGGCGTGGACAGGCTCTGTGGATGACCTACAACCCACAAGAGATGCCAGCAACTACAGATTCCTAAGAAATTTCTGTCCTGCACAGAAATGCCATTGTTCCACAGGGAAAAGCCACACCATAAGTGAAAAGGTCTTTGATAATACAAAGCTGTAGCCCGTAGCTGCATGCTGAATTCATGTGTGTGATTCGTCTTAATTGCATGTTTATTGATATGGTTTTATTAACTATCCTAAGGACAGTCCATTGATTAAAAAAAATAAAAAATCAGCGTTGGGTTTCTTCGTTTTAAAACATACAAATAAAAAGAGTAAAGTTTTGGGCAACAACATGACTATCAATAATGCATATTATTAATTGAAGCTAATATCAGTTGTTTTCTATAAATGATACCATCCATCCATCAATCTATTGTACCCGCTTGTTCTATACGGGTCACCGGTGTTTGGAATCTATACGTATGCTACTGCAGGAAAAATGTTTAGGCACATACGCTAACAACAACAACAATAATAATAATAATGATAATGAGAAATGGGGGACACTTTTGAGCAAGTGGAACATTGTTAAAACTATCATTTAAGGACGAATACAAGTTGCAGTATTACAATTTTACAATTAATATTTTTCTCCAGTAGTCCTTAATCGATTTTTTTACGTACTCACTAGTTTAAAGCCTGGTATTCTAATGCTCGCCTTAAGATAATCTACTGCAGTGCAGCGCCAGAGACAACAACACTTCGCAAACCCGTTTGAAGTTACCCCGGTTCAACTGGAGCTCTGCACAGCGCAGCGCATCTCTTTTAAGGTGGTTCCGCTCCTAAAAACCTCAGCCCATGTAGCCTACTGTCGATAAAATTAAAAATAACTAACAACAATATGCATCCACAGCGTCCTCGTAACAAGATGCTTAAGGCATTAAGACTGTATAAATATAATATATTGTGTAGTATACCTGGTTGTTGTGGAAAAAAACACATAATGTGTCTCTTTATGTGCTTCGAAAACGTAATAACGCGGGGGACGCCTTTGCCTCCGTTATTAGCTTGGCACCACTAACCTCCTCCTCCCCCCGGCCACAACCCCCACCCATCCAGTGGCGCCTCCTTAAATATGCAATGGCAGCCGAAAGTTGGGAGTGGAAAGTAAAGGGTCAGGAAGATTGGTGGGTGGGGATAACCCTTTAGGAAAAAAAAACTAAAAAAAAAACTTAGAAAATCACGTGTTTGGAGATCAAAGGAGATCCGCTTTGTAGAGTTGGAAGGAGAGCGAGAAAGAGCGAGAAGCAGTGTAGACAGACCCGGTAAATGACAAGGCTGCGATGGTGAAATAAACGCGTCCAGGAAAAGATTAAGCTCAGCCGCTCAACGTCTCCACTGAGATTTAATTTCAGAGATAGCCAAGGGCTTCCCCCTCTAAAAAAATCCCTGGAAATTATGTTCCGATCGGCGCTGATCCAGCCGGCAAGATGATTTTACCAAGAAGAGTCTCAGATCGGGTGGCCGATTCGGTGATCTTCGCGTCCCTTGCGGTCGCAGCTTGCTTGGGAAGCGTTTTCGCGAAGGATACCGCCTTTGTGGAAGTAGTACTGTTTGAATCAAGTCCAAATGGAGATTATACTACATACACCACAGGTTTGCAGGGACGATTCTCTAAAGCTGGAGCCACCATCAGCGCAGAGGGCGAAATCGTGCAGGTATGTGGTATAAAAGAATAAATGAGCGTAATCTGTGTTACATTGTATTGCTCGCACTTGCGGACACTTTTCGGATGTTTGAGTCGGTTTCATCAGTTGGCGCAACTTTCTTTGCATGTGGTGCGTACGGACGCGTGTGTACTGGGCGCTTGGGGGTGGGGGTACATTTATTTATGAGAGGATGGTACTAGCTAGCCAGCTAGCTATGTGGTCACAAGATGGCTTCTATCTCGTAGTGGGGAGAAAAAAGATCTTCAATTCGCAATTGAACTTGCACATCGCAAACTGTTTTTGTGACAAAAATACCGCAGCCATTGCAAGCCCACATGCAGCTTAATGTATCTGTACTTTGCTTTGAAAGATGCTGCGTCCTGTCAGACACTTTCTGCTGCTTTAAAAGAGAAGAGACAGGCTGTTTGGTTATTGGCTGCATATCGATACATTGCTATTGCATGCATTACAAAAAACACGAGAAATTGCGACAGATATTCATCCACCCAAGTCTGAGATGCAGAACAGTTACGATTTATGTTTCGTGTTGGTTTTCTGACCTAGAATATTTCGTTGTACACCCGGGTAATCTGTAGGATTCATCATTACCAGCGCTAGAAATGATTTAACCAAGGCATCTGCCAGTGCCTCGATTTCGACAAAGTAATCTGACTTTATTTCTCTTATTCAGCACTTGTTGCGGAGTAATTGTGTATGTCTATATTTTACTACCGTGACGCTTAAACTATTATTGGGACTGGATATTTGTGGGACTATTGAAATAATAAGTTGCTCGTGATCAAGAGAGATCTGGTGGGTGTCGAGTTCTTCATTTAATCTCCGTTTAGTTCTAACTTGGGGACGGTAACATGACGGATATTTCCAGCCACAAACGGTGCGTAAAATAGGAGCTTTTAGCTCTACAAGTGCAAGTAGAGTCTTGGAGGGCTATGCAGCCCGGCAGTGGGGCTGATATCTGCCTGTAAACCTGTAATCATCGGACATGGGAGCTGGGAATGCGGCTAAATGTGTCGGGCATTATTAAAAGCGATGCCGGGGGGAGCGGTCTTTCACACAAGTATTTGCCCGCAGGATAAAAAATGAATTGTTAACTGGCAAACGTGTGCTCCATGATTTATTTTCTTAAGCTTGGGAGCTGGATGATTGTCAAGGCATATTCGTTATCTGAGCCGTGGGTGACGGGTGTTGAACCGATCCGGTTCCACTCTGATGAGCGCGGTTCAATATGCGTTATTTACAGCGTGAAATTAAATCACAAGTAAAACCGAGTACTTCTGTTTCCCCCTAATTATCGGGAAAACATCCATCGGAATACCCCAAGGCAAAGCTTGTAATATGGGGAGATCAGGCAAACTCCTCACAAATAGGGTAGGGATGCCGGGGGGGGGGTGTGCCCCTCTGTGCCCCTCTGTGCCCCGGGCGGACCTACTGCTACAAAGACTTCTGAACATTTATAAGAAATTTTAAATGCTTTAAAAATATCTAATTTTTTACTATCCTGAAATAAGACCATAACAAAGTGACGGCTATCCCTTACTGCATAGAGCTTATCATAAAAGTGATTAAAATACATTTAGTGCAATATTCATTATTACTTAACGGGGATGTCAGCGGAAGTAGTGGGCCTATATGCATCACAAACAGACCCGAGAAGTTGTTCATTTGCCGCTGTTGTATAACTTTATGGTGTATTTAATGCGTGCTTATTTCCCGACCGGGACCCATTAAAAAATGGAGTTTCACTGGGCCTGCTATGCAGCTCCTGACGGGCAAGTTTAATATCGCACCTTTCAATTTCAGACGCTATTTGGATGGGTTGATGTCGGCTCTGCGTTTTGTGTGCAAATACTTGCGGTCCGGGCAATTTAACTTCTTGCGGCTTTGTTTCCTTCCCTTTTAAAGTCTGCTGTGTTTAGCGGGTATGAAAAGTGTAATACATACTTATATAAACCAGTTTACGGAAAGGAGGGTGAAACGATCGGCACCATAAGACAAACATGGAAACTAACAGTCAGAAACAAGGACAAATGGACTCTTAATTAAAAATAATATTTTTAAATAAGTGGATGGGAATTTAAGCAAATAAGACCCTGTACCAGTTCGTGTAGTTTGCTTGTAATATCACCCTTTTTTGTTTGTCCAATAACAACCCCCCTCCTCCCTCCAGTGATTTATTCTTATAAGATGAATGGGGATTGATGAGTGACCCGGTTTAGTCTCCGGGACCCGTGATGCCTTCAAAGCCCCCGATACCGGCCTGAACACAAACCCCATTGAGCCGGGCCGCCTTGCCAGTCCCCGTTCCGGCAGACTGCCTGACGCCGGGTTTCCAGGGGGTGGGATCCAGGAGCCGCAGAGACGACATCAAATTAAAGCAAAATGTACGCGGGCCGGGCAATTTCGCCGTTTTTCTGTCCGTTAGTGAGCTGAAACCGCGCATCGGTTTCGTGTGTCTCTAACAGCTGTAATTATCAGATTGACTGGGATAAAGCTGAGCTGGAAAAGAAGCAGCGTCGCCCCGCTGTAGTCGGATGTTCTCGCTTTAAACCCTTTAGATAATAACGTGAAACGTGTAAGTGGAGGCGTTTTTCAGGATTTGCAATATGTGTGATAACTGCACCCGTCATACGCCTGCAATTGAGGAATAATACGCAGTCTGATTAGTAAACTAGTCTCCCTTTTTAAGGAAATCCCGCGATTTAGCTGAGATGTCTTTTATGACAGTATACTGTGCTGGCACGGAGTTATTGAGGACCCTGGACCCCGCAGTGTGTCCTAACCCCTAGGGAATGTCCGAGTCTATAGACGTGACAAGAAACCTGCCAGGTAGCTGGATGGCACTATTTGCAGTGACCTGGGCTTCTGATAGAGGGACTGTTGCTGCACCTCACCCTTTCTGCTGTCTCCACAATGTGAGACAAGTCCACTGCTGCCTCTGCAGACCACACAGCCCTGTTACTTTTCCTGGGCTTCCTCTCTCGTCTCCCCTGTTCTGTGCAGACCTGGGTAACCCTCTAAATGTCCTTTTGGCTGGCAGATGTCCCTGTGCCTAAACCTTTCTCAGATATACCCTTCTGTGCTTAACCAGGTCGCAGCAAGTATCTCATCAGGGTTGAGCACTAGGGCTAGTGCAGGGTTATTCAACTCACGGTCCTCAAGGTCCGAGCACTGCTGGTTTTCCAGCCTTCCTTTACCTGTCAGTCAGGTGTGAAGCCTCTGACCAATCAGAATCAGTAATTATTAAACAACTACCTGGGAGAACTGAAAACACGGCCTGGATTTGGAATCGAGGTCCAGAGTTGAAGAACCCTGGGCTAGTGGATGGGGCAGGTGCCCCAGCAATGGCTGATCTCTGATAACCCCTCACTACACAGATTCCCAGGATGTCTCATACAGCACTGTGCCCCCCGGCAGTTACTCCCAAATACCTCCGATCTTTTCCTCCTCATCATCATCATCCATGTACTCCTGGCTGCTAAAGGAATCTTGGTCTTTGGAAGCAACGAGTCACAGATCCCATGGAT